ATCTCAATTTGGTTGATATCAGTTGACATATTAAAATTCAAATAGGGCGTACGTAGATAACATAACTGGTTTTAGTCCACTAAAGCTACCGATTTCAAATATAAGTGACCGGGCATTGTTTACAACACCTGTCTCCGGGGGAAAAAGCGTCCCACTTGTGAAGCGCGTCATGAAAGTGATCGTCGGTGAGAGAAATAAATAGATAGAAATTATGAACTGTTGTCTGCTTGAATCTCAAGTTATCTTAGCAAATATTGTACACAGAAAAATAAAATTTCAAAAGGAGGATAAAACGTGCTTGAAACACGTGTTAGGTGAAAATTGCGGCTTATCTTGCGTTACACTTCCGGTAAAATGCAATACTTCCGGTAAGATGGACGTTTTGGCAGATGCCCCTAACAATCCGACGATATCAAAGATTTCCATTGCTATATTTTAATCAATTCGACCAAACTGACATTTCCATGAAATTAATTAATTAATCTTGGTCGAATTGTTTGGCATATTACCGTAGTGTTTTGTACCGCATGAAGGTCACTCTTGTCAATGCTGCATACGGCGTGGAATGTATATCTTAAAGTTCATAGAAACATTTTATTGTGTTTTGTAAGCTTTAGGAAGTAGTTTCGTCGTGACTGAATATCAGCGTACAAAAAAAATCAATCTTCCTTTGTTTCATGTTTCGCCCGATGATCAGATTTATCTAGTGCGCCCAGGTCTGCTGGAGCAGCTCTTTGAAAATAACACACAGGTAGATTTTTATCTGAGATAAATATCGCGTTCGATACACTCAAGACAAAAGCTACCTGTGAGCTGAAGGGCACTTTACCCTCTAATTAAGAGGTAAAGCAAGTTCCAGCTAGATGGACGATTAAGATCGGACTTCAGATGGTAAGGAGTATTGTTTACCTCAGTTCTGTGAAAGCAAATGAGAAGGGTGTCAGAACAATGGTGGATATATAAATTATACAGAGAATTTGTACATTCAGGTGACGTTAACTTATAATCGAAGGGGATTTTCGATAATATTCCTTGAAAAGTACACTAGATTTATAGAGAATAATATCATGGTTGGACAAAAAATTATATACGCACAGTGTATCCGTGCGTATGCCTGGTTACGCCCCTGTCGCAAACCAGCAAACCATATCCTGCTGACTACATGAAAATTGCCTTCTAGCATGGACAAAAAGTCCAAGCTTCTATGCTTGCTCGGATCGCTGACGATCTCTTGCTGACGAATATAGTAACGAAGTCCCTTGAACTAGTGTGGAAATTGGCTTAGGCTTCGTTCACATGCAATGTCTATTTTCTAAATTCTATTTTCTATTTGCGGCATGTCTTATGATCACGGTCTGTGCACTGAATATCCCGCCGCGTAATTACTGGCAGCGCGAGCCAGTTACTATAAGTTACTATAAGTAAGCACTATAAGTAAGCACAATAGTCTAGGAGGAAATAGCAGTAATTACTAACACACAGACGCACAGACACATGGACGCACAGACGCACGGACGGGAGGGATAACATGATCCCAACTATTGTCCCATAAGTTTTTCAATTTTCACCAATGACTGTCTTTATTGCAATACATTCAACTGGATATAAAGCACACAGAACGAAACGAGCGCTTCCAACCCTAACACTGTGTCTGTGTTTATACTATAAATATTTTATGTTCATTTGAGTGTAACTAATTAGAACATAAGAGCATGCTAGCATACACCCTAAGTCACATACCGCTGTGGACGCCGTGGTTAAGTCAACAGTGCTCCCATAGTCATTCTCATCCGTTGGTATGCCGTCGGTGAAAACCAAAAGCCTGGATGGCACCATCTGTCTGCTAACTACCAGGACGCTAGCTACAATAATTATATGTAAATGTACTCAGAATGAACACTAAGAAATTATGAAGGTTCTGATAAAGATGCAAAAGTTACAAATTAAGCTTGGAATTCAACAATTTTAATTTTCAACTGATTTCAAGTAAAAACTAGAGCAACAACAGCATCTATTCAGAGATCTGAATAATAGTTGCACGTAATACTTGCTTGATTTGGGACTACCATCCTCGAAAACAGAGATAAATATGTAAAATCGTCCTGTATATGAATTTGTACAAATAAGAGATGTTGCAACTGAAAATGAGGCATAACTTACAGAGTCGCTTTACTTCGTGCACAGCCTCCCTGATACCTGTTGCTAAAGGACTCATTCCGCTTGGTCTTAGGCAACCTGGATAAATAACAAGGCAGCAAAGCTGTCAAATGTACAGACAAAAAACAGGAAATAACTATGCACAAAATAGGCTACTGTCAATTCTGATGCAAAAGTACATTATGTTAAACTGCAAATTCAACATCATATTTTAATGATTGAATCTGACAAACTGCAATGATATGAGTTTATTTCCATTTTTGAAACTTTATTAAACAATACATGATGACACTTTTACGTATCTTATAAGTTCAATAATGAGACTGTTAACATGCCTAAGAGTTGAATCTGAGGAAATGTGAAAAAACAGCATAACTTCTTAAATAATGCCCCGATTATGCTGATTTTTTAACTCAACCTGTGTTTTAGTAAGATTGACCACTCCTGTGAATTTAATGAAAATTGGCCTATTTGTTTTTCTTATATTGTGTTTACAATGTTGCATATATGCTGAAAAATGAAAAAACAGCATAAATACTAAAATAGTGGCCCAATAATGCCGATTTTCGAACTTGACCTGTGTTATAATAACATCGATTACTCCTGTGAGTTTCATGACAACAGGCCTATCAGTTTTCCTTGAAATGTGTTTACAGTGTTGCATATATGCTGAAAAGTGAAAAAACAGCATAACTTCTACAAAAATGGCCTGATCATGCTGATTTTTGAACTTGACCTGCATTTTATGAATATTCATCAGCTCTGTAAACATACAGCCAAAAAGTAAAACTGCCTTCCACCTATCATGTTTACAATGAAAGTGCACGTCGCCAGCGACAGTGACAGTGACGGCGACGACGACAGATGCAGGTGATAGCAATATGTACAGACACATCTGTACATATTTACTGTACTGTTTGAGAACAGTAAGTGACATCATTTTCCTTAAATGGTCATCATGGGAGCAGTGCCCAAAATAGGGGTTCCTTCAAATTTTGATGCAATATTACATAATGTTCAAAAGCATAATGACCATCAATTTTTAATAATAAAATATTAGTATCATGGATATTCAGAAAATGTGACTAGCAAAGGTCTTCAGGCCCATGGAACTTCAAAGTCACAACTTGAAAATGCCAAATTGTAAACAAGACAGCACTGTTCTGAAATGTTTTTTTTTTTTTTCATTTTTAACAATTTTTTAAACATAAAACGAAATTAACAGGTTACTGCCATTTTTATATGATCAACTAAGAAAATTGATGAGATGGG